ACACAGACACTCACACACAGACACTCACACACAGACACACACACACACACACAGACACTCACACACAGACACACACACACACACACAGACACACACACACTCACACACACACACACACACAGACACTCACACACAGACACTCACACACAGACACTCACACACAGACACTCACACACAGACAGACACACACACACACACAGATACAGAGACACTCACACACAGACAGACACACACACAACACAGAGACACACATTTTATTTGTCAGGATTCACAGATGAACAGAAAGTTCAAAAGAACAGCATTTATCTGAAATAGAAATCGTTTGTAACATTGTCTTTACTGTCACTTTTGAGCAATTTAATGCAGCCTTGATGAATACAATTATTTTCATTTTTTCTTTTAATCTTGCTGACCCCAAACTTTTGAATGATATTGTATCATGTTTTTCACAAAAAAGTTATAATATTTCACAATATCACTGTTATTTATCAATGCAAACGCAGCCTTGATAAGCAGAAGAGACTTCTTTCAAAAACTCTGAAAATATAAACCAAAACTGGGTAACATGATCAAATAACCTGCACAGAAAACCTTTCTGTTTGATCAAAGTTGGGATTGTTTTCTATGAAGTAGTGTTCACCAGTGAGTCGTTCTCAACAGCACCAAGAGGCTGAGATTTCTCTCGTGTTGACGGTCTGTTTGTTATTTCCAGGGTCAGGATGAAGTTGAAGCTTCTGGTAGTTTTGCTGCTAAAATCTGGACCTACAGAGTTCTGCAGGAGCTCATCCACTGGACTGATTCGGCCTCTCAAACCCTTCACTTATTCCACAGCGAGAAGCACGGCCAGCAGCAGCAGCAGCAGCTCCTCTAGACGCGGCTTCCTGAACTAAACACCTTATTCAATGGAGAATCAGTATGTTAGGCCAGGACCATGACCGCAGACGTCTAGAACTCAATCTGAGATTAAATCAGGCCTTTAGTTTAGACCAAAAGAGAACCTAAATTAACAAGCAGAGTTTATTGTTGTTTGGTTTAAAGCTTGGTTACAAAAAACCCAAGCATCTCGGCATGAATATTGTTTTGCCTAAAAAAAATCCTTTAAAAAATAAATTAGCTAGTTTTCTGATGGGGAGTATATTGCTACGTTCAGATGAGTTTCTGCGACTCTGCGGTCTTGATATTGTGTGCGATTATAACAATATGCTGTGCTCTTGAGGTCTAATACGGTAGGGCTCCTGTGTGAAATACATCACGGGCTTCACACACGCTTCAGCCTGAGTTACACACGTGTCAAAAGAAACAAAGACATTTACCTGTAAAATCAGCAGAGACCTTCACTGTAGGAAGAGTCCTGCCATCATTTACTCTCACTGCAAACCCATGGGACGCTATTTTTACAGCACAAACATCACATTGTGAAGAATTTTCATGCCGTTCTAGTCTAAACAGTGAAAGCAGACCGAGAGCAGAAGCTGTCAAGCAACAAAATGCATCAAAAATAGTTGCATTTTGACTCGACAGATCTTAATGCATGTAACTATAAATGAGATTTGAGAGCTACGGCAGAAGAGCAGAGTTTATTTATGTTCACTGTATGCTTTTACTGTAGTGTGAACGTTTCTAATTTTCTAAAACATGTCTCACCTTTGCTTTTGCATGGAAGAGATAGTCATGCAGGTGTTGAATGACATGAATGTCTGGACCGCCGCTTCCGTCAGGGAATGTAAACATAAAAATAGTAACTGTGACTGTTTTTATCTCATGATTATATTGAAATGATCTCAGAAAAGTCAGAATTGCAAGATATGAACTCACAGTTCTAAGAGAGAAGTCAGAATTGTGATGCAAAAAGTTGCAATTCATTTTTTTTGTTACAAGACGAAAACAAAAAGTAGAATTGGAAGATATAAATTCAGAACTGCAATAAAATTCAGAATTGCGAGATGTAAACTCAAAGTCAGAATTCAGAATTTATATCTTGCAATTCTAACTTTTTTCTCAGAATGGACAACAAAACAGAATTTAAAGGTATACAACTCAGAATTGTATGAAAAATAGAAACAAAAAACTGAATTGAAAGAAAAATAGAATAAAAAACAGAATTGCATGAAAAATAGAAACAAAAAACAGAATTGAAAGAAAAATAGAATAAAACAGAATTGCACGAAAAATAGAAACAAAAAACTGAATTGAAAGAAAAATAGAATAAAAAACAGAATTGCATGAAAAATAGAAACAAAAAACAGAATTGCAAGGTATAAAATTCAGAATTGCACGAAAAATAGAAATAAAAAACAGAATTTCAAGGTATAAAACTCAGAATTGCACGAAAAATAGAAATAAAAAAACAGAATTTCAAGGTATAAAACTCAGAATTGCAAGATGTAAACTTGAAAAAAGTAAGAATTCTGAATTTATGACTGCGAGAAGCAAGGTCTGAATTGTGAGACAAAAAAAACGTTTATTATTATTAATTAATTTTTTATTCCATAGCGGAATCAGGCTTGCATATGAATGAGTAAATGATGGCAGAGTTTTCTGACAGACAGACTGACGTAGTGTTACTCTGATTGAACATATTCACATGCAGAAATGTTACATTTAGGAGAAACTAGAGTCATTTCACCCACAAACACTAACAAAGTTTGACGTTTACACATTTTCAAGTTATATATGTGTGCTCCACACACACTCACACACACACACACACACTCACACACACTCACTCACACACTCACTCTCACACACACACACTCACACACACACTCACACTCACACACACACACACACACACACTCACACACACTCACTCACACACTCACTCTCACACACACACACTCACACACACACTCACACTCACACACACACACACACACACACTCACACACACTCACTCACACACTCACTCTCACACACACACACTCACACACACACTCACACTCACACACACACACACACACACACTCACACACACTCACTCACACACTCACTCTCACACACACACACTCACACACACACTCACACTCACACTCACACACACACACACACACTCACTCACTCACACACACACACACACACACACACTCTCACACACTCACACACACACACACACACACACACAGTGATAATAAAACGGCATGTACTGAGATACACACAAGTGTGAGCCCCCAGAGCATGTAGGGTAGTTAGTGAGCCACTAGTGATCAAACCGACTAACCTCCTTACTGTACTAACAGATGATGTAGCAAACCGCCTGTGACTTAGACTGTGAATTACTGTATGATTGAAGTCAGATTTCATTGTGAACTAAATCCACGGCATTACTGAGTAGTGAAGATCATATTTTTTAGACTATAGTCCATAGACTTAACAACCAAAAATCTGAAATATTAATATATTAATGTCTTTATTTATTAATTTCTACTGAGATGTCATGTAAGTGTAACACTGTGATGCATTTCTTTGCTGTTACTAAACCAGCGTAGCTGCTGACGACTAACTCTGAGGCTGTGAATCTGTGAATCTGTGCTTATATCTAGAGGATGCTCTGTTTGTCTCTGTGTGGCTTCATCTGTGACACACACTAACCATGCTTCACAGCCGCATGCTCAGCTCATATTCCTCACATTCTCTATTTTGTTATATTATTGATCACAGTATCATGTATATGTCTATATTAATCAATAAATGATGGGATGAAACTTAAAGTGTGTTCGTATTCTGTGTGTGTGTTCATATTCTGTGTGTGTGTGTGTGTGTTCATATTCTGTGTGTGTGTGTGTGTGTTCATATTCTGTGTGTGTGTGTGTGTGTTC